ACTTTTATCTACAGAGTAGGTACGAGGCTTTTAAATTTGCAGAGAGCTCATGGTTTCGACTTTTATCTACAGAGTAGGTACAGGCTTTAATTTGCTAGAGAGCTCATGGTTCGACTTTATCTACAGAGTAGGTACAGGCTTTAATTTGCAGAGAGCTCATGGTTTGATTTTATCTACAGAGTAGGTACAGGCTTTAATTTGCAGAGAGCTCATGGTTCGACTTTATCTACAGAGTAGGTAGGCTCTGTTCCTACAGTTGGGTAATTTCTTCGTGCCCTCCTTATAATACCGGTTACAGGACATCCATGCTCTGTTCCTACAGTTGGGTAATTTCTTCGTGCCCTCCTTGTAATACTGGTTACAGGACATCCATGCTCTGTTCCAACAGTTGGGTAATTTCTTTGTGCCTGCCTCGTAATACCGGTTACAGGACATCCATGCTCTGTTCCTACAGTTGGGTAATTTCTTCGTGCCCTCCTTGTAATACCGGTTACAGGACATCCATGCTCTGTTCCTACAGTTGGGTAATTGCTTCGTGCCCTCCTCGTAATACCGGTTACAGCACATCCATGCTCTGTTCCTACAGTTGGGTAATTGCTTCATGCCCTCCTCGTAATTCTGGATACAGGATGTTTCTGCCCTGAATTTATGGTTGAGCGAGTTATAATTTTGTCCTGTTCTTATGGTTGAATCGGGTTCGGTTTGTTGTACTTCTTGCTCCTACAGCGGTTTTGGGAGTTTGTCCAGTTATGATGGAAAGCTCGTAATTCCAGTTGCTTGAAGTAAGACACTTACAGTTGGGGTTATTGGGTATTTATAACACAGTCAACATGCCCTAGCCACAATGGTGTTATTACAATTTTTTTCATCCTCAACCTCCTAATGCTGAGTTATGGAACCTTGTCTGTCCAGTTGAGGTTGAGAATGTACATAGCTCATTCCATTCCTACGTTACTGTATCTTGCACCTATCAAACCATATTCTGTTTGTGGAAGTAACTTTCTTTTCCAACCATTTTGGATTCATTTCCTACTTCCTGAGCAAAGAGCATACCTGTTCCAGAAGTAGTGTGGTACCCCACAGGTGTGCTTCTTTTCATCCCGAAGCACACCCATTTATTCTGGGCGGTCGCTTTCGGCTTGGTTTGATATTTGTGCACCTACACCAGCCCCTCCACCTTTGCAATTTTTGTGTAAGGGTCTGAAGTTAATTTTTTCTTACACTGAATATGTTTTTCTGATAGTTATTTACCTCCTCTCATACACTAACCACCCTTCCTCCCCACTTCCAGTGTTCTCCTTTCAGAGCCTGCCAATTCTCAAAAGGGTTGAGGAGGAATAGATGCACCAGTATAGTTGGTGCAGTACTATCGGTGGAGAGTAGTCACATGATTTGAACATGTTCAGAAATGACGGGAAATTGCTGGGCTATATAAACGGGTGAACTGGTTGTGAAAATTTTTTAGCAATGCTTAGAGGAGGTAAGTACCTATCCGAAATACATTTTCAGTGTAAGAAAAATGTTAACTTTAAAATATATTTTCTCTCTTGTGAAACATTTTATTTTTTACACGTTAAAAGGCTGTAAATGAAATGCTCTAATGGAGTAAATATCTACAGTTATGTAATTCAGTTGTTAAAAGGCTGTAAATGAAATGCTCTAATGGAGTAAATATCTACAGTTATGTAATTCAGTTGTTAAAAGGCTGTAAATGAAATGCTCTAATGGAGTAAATATCTACAGTTATGTAATTCAGTTGTTAAATTACATGAGTATACTACTGACATATAATAGAATGGCTAAAATAAATAAAACTTTGTTTCTGCCACTATTACTATTAGCCCTGGTGTGGCTGCAATGGGTAAATGTTTATTATTACCTGAAGAGAAAGGGTTTGTCTTCCTAACTCTATTGTTAGAATGGCTAAATCCCTCCAGTTTACAAATTCTGACAAACAACAAAATAATTCCTTGAAACCTGTAAAACTGTATTGTTCTTACACAGCCTCAAGCCAACTGAAACTTTTATGATATCATCCCTCTGGTGTGCATCAACTAAAACTTAATATATCTAATAAATATGAAATTTTACTGAGAATATTTAACTGTGATAGAATAACTCATCAGGTAGAAAGTTTCTACATTGTTTAGAAGATTTTGAAATAGAATTTGGTGTAACTTGAGAATTTTAAACTATAGCTTTGGTAACTTAACTTATAGGTAGTGAGTTTCTATGAGGTTTAGAAAATTGTGAAAAAAAGATATTGTGTAAACTAAGATTATTAAACCATACCTTTGGTAGAATAACTTGCAGGTAGCAAGTTTCTACAATTGATGTTTGGAAGATCTTGAAAAAGGTGTTGTGTAAACAAAGGTATGGTTTAATAATCTTATATATAATGTACTACTGAATGTATTTTAACCTGTATATAATGTACTATTGAATGTATTTTATGGTACAAATCACTTTCAGCTGTTAGCTTTATATTTTGAATTTTTCAAACTTTATAATAAACTTATCAAAATTAGCGTGTAACACTTCACTACTGAAACACAGTCAAGAACAGCGTAACAATGATTTTTTACTCAACAGGGGTTTCAAATCTCTCCAATTCTGTTTCATCAGCCTCAGCCTCAGCAGCAGTTAAAGCCAACCTTGCTGCTTTTCTTCACAGTCAACATGCTGCTTCACAGAGCTGCACCTCAACAGCTAACGTTGTCCAACAGCCAGTGGATCAAGATAAAACATTCCCAACAGTGACATCTATCACTCTCTGTCCCTCTACCTCCACTGCGCCAGTTTCAAAACTCGCTAAGCCTCGTACAAGTTCTCTACCTGATGAGTTAATTCATCTAGGTTAAGATACATTCAGTAGTACATTATATACAGGTTAAAATACATTCAGTAGTACATTATATACAGGTTAAAATACATTCAGTAGTACATTATATACAGGTTAAGGTACATTCAGTAGTACATTATATATAGGTTAAGAAACATACAGTAGTACATTATATACAGGTTAAGATACATTCAGTAGTACATTATATACATGTTAAGGTACATTCAGTAGTACATTATATACAGGTTAAGATACATTCTGTAGTACATTATATACAGGATAAGATTCATTCAGTAGTACATTATATACAGGTTAAGATACATTCTGTAGTACCTTATATACAGGTTAAGATACATTCAGTAGTACATTATATACAGGTTAAGATACATTCAGTAGTACATTATATACAGGTTAAGGTACATTCAGTAGTACATTATATATAGGTTAAGATACATTCAGTAGTACATTATATACAAGTTAAGATACATTCAGTAGTACATTATATACAGGTTAAGATACATTTGGTAGTACATTATATACAGGTTAAGATACATTCAGTAGTACATTATATACAGGTTAAGATACATTCTGTAGTACATTATAGAATGATATCTTAACCTGTATGTAGTACATCATATACAGGTTAAGATACATTTAATAGTACATTATATACAGGTTAAGATACATTCAGTAGTACATTATATACAGGTTAAAATACATTCAGTAGTACATTATATACAGGTTAAGGTACATTCTGTATTACATTATATACAGGTTAAAATACATTCAGTAGTACATTATATACAGGTTAAGGTACATTCTGTATTACATTATATACAGGTTAAGATACATTCTGTATTACATTATATACAGGTTAAGATACATTCTGTATTACATTATATACAGGTTAAGATACATTTAATAGTACATTATATACAGGTTTAGATACATTCAGTAGTACATTATATACAGGTTAAGATACATTCAGTAGTACATTATATACAGGTTAAGGTACATTCTGTATTACATTATATACAGGTTAAGATACATTCTGTATTACATTATATACAGGTTAAGATACATTTAATAGTACATTATATACAGGTTAAGATACATTTAATAGTACATTATATGCAGGTTAAGATACATTTAATAGTACATTATATACAGGTTAAGATACATTTAATAGTACATTATATACAGGTTAAGATACATTTAATAGTA